ATTTTGTGTGTTGTTTGTGTTTGTTTCAGTAAGGAGATACACAACACTTCGAGTAAGTTTTCTCTCCTCTTGTTAGAGTGTTGAGAGAACTCATCCATGGAGAATTGAAGATAAGAAGAAGGATTCCTTGGAGTGGAAGCCGAAGAAGATATTCATCCGGTAAACAACCTTATTTTTAGCTTGGTCGCTGGACTACTGGAGGTGTTGCGGTGGAGTAACAGTCAGTTCATGAGAGTTTGTATAAACCAAAAATGGAGCTTGGGTAGAAGATAGGTTGGGTAGTTCGGTTTGGTGTCTTATATGGTGTAAACTAAGTGTTTAGTTTAGTTAAGACTCCTGGATTGGAATCCCCGACACGTAGGTTGGAAAACCGAACTAGGTAAACAAACTTGGTGTGTTGTGTTTCTTTCTGCAATAATTCAACCATCGATTTGTGCACAAACGCACACTATCGTTATAACCGTGAGACAACTACATTATAAAGTTGTGATTACATCAAACGTTTCATAGTTCCGCTGTGCAAGTTACTCGGAGGAGTTGGACCTCTTATTCGATCGCCCCCCTGCGATTTCCAACACTAAATAACCAATCTAACCAAATGGGCTAACAATTTGGTTTGGGATTAAGGTTAATGGGTTAACGGATTTAGATCTAAAGGTTTGGACCAAGAGTGTACGGATTGTACGGTCACTAGATTGACAACTGTATCGCTTTCTGAAATGCAGTTCAGAAGGCAATCAAAGAAGGCCGCCTTGAGCTGGCCGAAAAACCTAACATGAAAGTAGACACCGAGCCGTTCCCCATGCCGATAAACGTTGTCGGAATATGTCCAGCCATGTCCAGAAAGACTATATCGGGGTTTGGAGCAGATGGTAGGGGAACAAGCCCTAAAAAACCAGTGTTTGAAAGGCTTGGAAGGGCGATCAAACTTCAGAGAAGAAGTTCGGTGTGGGATAGACTTTCCCCCACAAATACGGTCGCAGAGGTAAGTTTCAAAAAATGAGGGGAAGTTTGGCGAGTAACATCTTTGGATCAAGTAGTAATTAACCCCACCAAACTCGACACCCTGGAAAGGCTCCAGATGATGGAAAATGGGCTAGAAATCAGAAGGAACGGTCGAACCAACCCCCTACCAGAACCCAAAAATGGAGGGCGCAGCAACAACGCCTGGCCGCTCGTCTTGAACAGCAGGTTGGGGGGCAGCAAGTTGCTTACCACGCAAGTGAAGTTAACCAACAGCAACACTAAAAATCTGAAGGGGTTAACACCAAAAGATTGAATCATGACCATCAAGACTTGCGCCATCACATCCAAGTTCGAAGGGAATGGAGACCGAAAGAAGTTTTCTCAAGGGTCAAATTTCCCAAGGAAACGAATTTTACGGTGACACTCGGGGAGAGTTAGATTCCTGAAGACGAACCCAAGATCGACGCCCTCACATGCGACGAGGCCTCGGAGGTCACTTTAGATATTATCGCCGGTGATAAAGATCTTGAACAATATGAGAGTAATCTCGAGGTTAGGACAGTGGGCGTATTACCTCGGGAATTTGGAGCGCCCTCATCCCAGCCAGATTTCCTCTAGGGAGACATCTTACTAGAAGAGACCAGCCCGTTGTATTGGGCAGAACAAGAGCTGAACGTTCCGGAAAGAATCCCGGACCCAGTGATTTTCCAGAAATTATCCGACGAGAATACACGCCACCTTAAGCTGTTATTCCTTACTGTTCATCTTGACGGAAAAACAGTCAGCAAAGTCTTGGTCGATGGGGGAGCATCAGTTAACATCATGACCCTGTCCACTTTGAGGAAAATAGGGAAAAACCGAAATGATTTAGTCCCAACATCCTTGTGGACGACCGACTTCACTGGGAATGCACATCCAACCGCAGGCGTTTTAGTGGCAAAAGTGACGGTTGGAACTAGAACGGATTAGATGGCCTTCTTTGTCGTCAAAGGAAAGCCAACCTACTCGGCTATTCTTGGGAGGGATTGGATTCATACCACTCAATGCGTGCCGTCGACCCTCCACCAGAAGGTCATGTTTTGGAATGGGAATTAAGTCGAGACAGTAGAATCCGAAACTGATCCTATCATGGAAGTACATTCCGCAGAATCCGTATATTATTCTCCTGAAGTTTACCCGTTTTCCATGATGTTGGAAGATGCAAGGATATGGAATAAGTGTAACCTAACCATAAAAAGGTTCAAAATCATAATAGAGGCCGACGAACGACCTGACGGTGCAGACAGTCTTCATGTCTGACGATCTAATTGTACGAGATTGGGAGGCAAGGGCAGGCAGGTCTGGTTGTCCATTCATACAAGAAGGCAACCTTGCCGCCCCACTACCCGACGAACAGGCAGGAACGGCTCCCGGACCGCATGGGCACAATCGGAATGAAGAAAAAGTTCAACTGCTAATCCAAAGAACTGCTCCACCTTTCGAAGCTCAACATACTCTGGAAGAGGTTAACCTGGGGAGCGATTCAGCGCCTCGGATGACGCGGATCAGCGCTCTACTAGACGGCAACGCAAAAGAACGAATGGTTACTCTGATCCGCGAATTCAGAGACTGCTACACATGGGACTACCATGAGATGCCGGGGTTATCAAGAAGTCTGGTGGAGCACCGACTTCCCATTAAGGCTTTGTGCCGGCCACACAAGCAGGCCCCTAGGCGCTTCAACCTGGAATTGCTGCTGAAAGTAAAAGAAGAGATCAAAAAGCTTCTTAAAGCTAATTTCATTCGAACGTGCAGGTATCCAGAGTGGATCTCTAATATCGTTCCTGTACCGAAGAAAAATAGGAATATCCGCTTTTTCATCGACTTCCGGAATCTCAACCTAGCAACGCCAAAAGACGAATACGTGATGCCGATCACCGACATGCTCGTAGATTCCACGGCGGGATACGAGGTCCTATCCTTCATGGACGGATATTCAGGATACAATCAAATATATCTGGCCGAGGAGGATACCCATAAAACGGCCTTCCGTTGCCTCGGAGCAATCGGAATCTTAGAATGGATAGTTATGTCTTTCGGCCTGAAGAATGCTGGAGCGACCTACCAGAGAGCGATGAACGCAATTTTCACGATATGATCAACGCTAGTGTGGAAGTATACATAGACGACATGGTCGTGAAATCCCGAGCCTTCGACCACCACCTATTAGACCTTCGCAAAGCATTCACACGGATGAGGCAGCATGACCTCAAGATAAACCCGGCAAAATACGCCTTCGGAGTACAGACAGAAATTTTTTAGGGTTCTTGGTGCATCAAAGGGGTATAGAGGTTGATAAAAACAAGGCTAAGGCTGTCCAAGACCTCGGACCTCCCCGCAACATCAGGGAACTGCAAAGCCTGATGGGAAAGGTCAATTTCTTAAGAAGATTCATCGCCAACGCGGCTGGGAGGATGAAGACCTTCTCTGCGTTATTGCGTGGGAAGAAAGACGCATTTGAATGGGAAATGCCCAGCAAGAAGCCCTAGACCAGATCAAGCAGACGCTAACATCTCCGCCGGGATTAATGCCACCGGTCCTTGGAAGGGGGCTGAAACTGTATATAGCTGCGACAGACGCTACAACAGGCTATCTTTTGGCCCAGGACAATAACGAAGGTCGAGAACGCGTTGTTTATTATCTTAGTAAGACCTTAAATGAGGCCGAAACTCATTATTCAGGTGTTGAAAAACTTTGTTTATCCTTATATAATGCCTATACAAAATTAGAATATTATCTGCTGCCATTCGAAACTAAGGTCATATGTGAAGTTGATCTCCTTCGCTATTTACTAAACAGGCCAGTCCTTCGAGGCCGTTTGGTTAAATGGGCACTAAAGTTAGCATCGTTTTCTTTAACATATCAACCTCTCAAGGCCGTCAAATGACAAGCCATTGCCGATTTTCTAGCCGAATATACGGGGATGGTTCAGGCTACGTCCATATATTATGTAGGGCTAGAACCCTGGATGGTAGCTTTCGACGGATCTAGTACTACAGGGGCAGCCGAAGCAGGCGTAATAATTCATAGCCCAGAAGAAGGGGTATGACGCTTCGCGCATTAACTTTCGCAAGGCATCACAAATAACCAAGCCGAGTATGAACCGTTACTTTTGGCTTTACGTTTCCTCGTAGCCCAAAAAGTCAGAAAGGTCGTCATCCGCGGGGATTCCCAATTAGTTATCCGACAGGCCCTTAAAGAATTCAAGTGTAAAGATCCACAACTCCAGATTCTTCTCCGCGAAGTACACGGTCTCCTACAGCAGCTTACGGATGTGGTTTTAGAAGATATACCCCGAGATAAGAATGTGGAGGCAAACGACTTGGCACAATGGGCTTCCGGTTTCAAAAGGGGACATATGCCTCGAGAATTCGAATGTTCGCAGGTCACCACGCCAGATTCAGATTGGCGAACCCCCTTGCTGGAAGGGCTGGCAGACCCCGGGAAGGCCACTTCAAAATCCGAACGATATCACCTCATGAAATACACTCAAATTAATAGGGAGTTATATCGACGAAGGTCGGACGGGACGCTGGCGCACTGCCTATGGCACAAGGAAGCACTGAAGGCCATGGCAGAAGTCCACGAAAGCATTAGAGGCGCACATAGGGCTGGACCCACGATGAGGTGGACGATACTTTGCTACGGCTATTTTTGCCCTCGAATATCACAATATTGCATAGATTATGCACGCGGGTGTCCAGCGTGTCAACGCCGTGGACCACTTCGACAAATCCCCGTTGAGGAGCTCCATTCAATCGTCAAGCACTGGCTTTTCCTAGCTTGGGGGATGGATGTGATTGGGAATATTCATCCCTCATCGTCTAAAGGACATTTTTTTTATTCTTGTGGCTACAGAATACTTCACAAAGTGCGCGGAGGCTATACCACTTGCCAAAGTGCAACAGAGCCATATCATACGCTTCATTAAAACAAATATTATTAATTGATTCGGCATCCCCAAGACGATCCCTACTGATCAAGGTACCGCGTTCATGGGAACAAAGGTCAAGGTGTTCGTGGCTCAATATGGAATCCAATTGGTCCATTCTTCCCCCTACTACCCCCAAGCTAACAGGCAGGCCGAGGCGAAGAACAAGGTGCTAATTTCAATTATTAGAAAAGCTTTGGAAGATAATCGAGAAGTTGGCATGACACGCTGGACGAAGCACTCTGGGCATACCGGAACGTCAAATCTTCAATGACTGTCAGCACCCCCTACTAGCTGACGTATGGACATGATGCCGTGCTCCCACTGAAAATTACGGTAGCATCGCTCCGAACTTTGCAAATGAACGGACTCTCGATGGAAGAAAATGACCAAGCACTGCTTCAGGAGCTCGATACTTTACCCGAAGAGAGGTTGCAAGAACTCGAACATACGCGAGATCAAAAGAAAAAAACAGAAAGGGCCTTCCAAAAGCACGTTAGGTCTCAGGCCTTCCAGGAAGGTGATATGGTTTGGAAGGTCATTCTTCCGGTCGGGCCGAAAGATCCAAAATTTGGAAAATGGTCACTCTTATGGGAGGGACCGTTCATTACACCTGCCAAGACAACCAGCGGTGCGTACAGATTAATGGAACCCGAAGGAAAAGAGTCGAACATGTTCATTAATGGAAAGTATCTCAAACGATTCTATCCGTCCATTTGGGATTTAGAATAGGAGATGTCTCCATAATAAAAAAGATGGTTAGTTCACAAACAGGACAAGGGTAACCTAGATTGAGCTACTATTAAAGCTAGGCTGATACGGGCACTGTAGTCATAGCTACTAAAATGACTCCCTCCGTCACTTACAGACCATTATAAAAGGAACCAAAAAACAAAAGGGGAGGGGGTGATTCAAGTCAAAGTTACACAGGCATGGAATAAGTTATTGGTTCACAGGAAAGTCACTTGAACTTGCATCATACGTGACATAAACATCCACAAACCCAATACTAACGGCGGACGTACCCGCGGCCGGTGGATTAGACGCCATCTCTGCAGCGTATGGATCCCCAGCGTACAGATCCCCAGCCACAACAACCAGCATGGGAGGAAGACGGCTGGCAAACTTTGAAGTCCTAGGGCACGAAGAAGCCCATAAGGCCGTCACACTAGGCCATGCCAGACGCAGCTCCCCTAGCCCCCGTTCAACCCGTTGGAGATTCTTCTCGAAAACAAGTTTTTTGCCGCGGAGTCCAGATAGAGGTTCATCCAAAGCTCTCGCTCGATCGTACATTTCCGTCCGCCAAGCAGTCCTAGAAGCAAGACTCGCAGCCACCCGTGCCAATTCTGGTGGGATCTCCCTCAGACGCTCCTCGATCCTGCTCAATTCAGCACGCAAAGCTTTTTCTTCGGCGTGAAGACCCTCTATATATGATGTTTCATCCTCAGCGCGTTGTTTCTCGTCCAGAAAGCTCCGAGCACAAGCCATTTTTTCCGTTTCCAGGGCCATCAATTCTTTGAGTTTACTGTCATTCATATCGCAAACACCCTGTAACATCTTCAGGCGTCTGAAAATTTTGCCTAGGCGATCCGTAAGTTCCTCCAGCTGCTTGCGACGAGGCAGGCCCAGCGACAAAGAAGCAGCCGCAGTCAGAACAGATGCCTGCAGGGTGTCCAAAACGACCGAATCCTCCGGCAAAGCAGACTGATACCCATTAAAGGGATCCGGACCCAGATCTTTGAAACTGGCAGGGGCAGAGGCATAGGTAGCAAGGCTTTGGGCAAAGTATGCCTCTACGTCAGTAGGAACAACTTTCGGGGCCAAAGGAACAGATGGAAAAGGAAACGTCCTGACAGGCTCAAGCCTGGCTGAGATAGGGGAGTGAACCCGGGCCGAATAAACCGCCCCTCCCGGAGTTGTAGTTCCATGTGAAACCTGCGTGCATTTACCAAGTTAGAAGCCGATTCCATGAGCTAATCAGAATCAGCTTTTAGACTTTTACCCAAAAGGACAATGGAGGGGAGGCAGATCGTTCAACTGACTTAGCGACGGTCTCAGAGCCTGTTCCCGCATGAAGAACCTGCCAAGAAGAGTCATCAGAATGCCTCTCCTACATAAATACGAAATGAGGGAAGGATGAAGCATACCTGAGCCGGAGACGTCCAGGAAGGCGAGTCTGCAGTCGGAGCAACAGAGGACACGAGCGTAGCTTTCTTGGGAGGAATATGTGAAAGACCCGCAACCATAAGGCCTTTGTTTCCTCAAAAGGGAAACTCATGTTCAAAATACCTTAAGGGGTGGCGATGGAGCTGGCTGTTTGCAGGGCGCTTTGGCCGCAACTTGGGCGCGGCTGGTTTGGATATCAGCCTTCAGGAACGGCGAGTGGCCGAAAGTGGCGCGGATGGGGCACCCGTCACAAGAGGCGTACCTGTGATCGAAAGAAAAATGATCGATCATGACCCGTCTTCAGGCTATGCAATAGCGAATAAGTAAAGTACCTATGGCCGAATATATGAATACTTCCTCCACCTCCTCGAAAACAGCGGCAGACGACTCTTTACCACCTGAATGCTTATCATCTGGACTGACCAGGGACCGCCGAAGAGCCGCCACATTTGAGTGAACCAAAAACTCGGCCCACCAGCCGTCGAAAGAGGGCAACGTGCTTGGATTAAAAGCATAAGATGAATGTGGCAATTCCTCTATATCACAGATATAAGCATGTCAATCGTCGACAAGGGACAATCCCAAACTCTGACCCGCAGTAAGGGGGGTGGTAAAAGGTAACCAAACAGGGGGATCCCTTGAACCAAACTGAACTGGCGCGCGCAGTACTGAGGTTGGTAAACCTCCCTTAGCAAGGGATTGTTTCGAGAGGCTATAGACAATCCCCCGACTAAAATGCGAGCAGTAAGACATTTGTTCCAACATATGAAGCTAGAAAAGTCGGCGGTAACAGCGACAGAAGTGTCAAGAGACGTAAAGAAACCAAACAAAGGGTTGAAGTCGGCCGAAGATCGATTGGTCTCGTGTATGAGGGAGTAGATGATCGAATGGAGATCACCTTGAAAAGAGGGATATAATGCCAAATGAGGACCCAAAGCTACGAACGGTCGGGAGGGAAGTTCAGGGTGCAGGTTGATTAAATTCGAGAAATATAGTAGCGCCCATAACTCGAGAGACCACAGAGGGCCCGCTCCGACCGGTTCGCGGGAAAAGAAGACAGAGAGCTTTTCCAGGAATTCGTTTACGCCATGACATAACAAACCCAGGAAGTACAAAGCTAAATCTATTTACACCCCAGACATAAGGACATACACAATCAGTTCTACCTCCCGGACAAATCCTTTCGACGCACAGCAAACGAAGTACTTTCTAAACCAAAACATAAGGAAGGCATTGTGTTCCAAAGACTCAACGGGACCGGAAAGCATATTCGACACAATAAATTGACTCACGGTGGTGTTGCTATCATAGGCGACGGGAATCGGTAATCGATCAGGTTTATATGATGGGGATAAAAGAAGGCTCTACCCCTTTCGAATGAAGGTCCAAAATCGCGACCACATCTAACACGGTCGGGGCCAGTTTCCCAAAGGGAAACACAAACGCGTTTATACTGGGGCTCCAAAAACACATAAGGGACTTGATCATAAGATTATCACGAGGGGTCAGTACACACAGACAACATATCCCGAATGCCCCAAGTTTGCCATTGCGCCTCATATAAAGGATCTAATCTATCTTTCCAAGACTTGAACTCCGAAATACTACTTGGGAGCCGAAAAATACGGGAAGGAAAAACAACAAGATTGAACCAAGATCGGGCTAGCAGGAGCTTACCCCCGCCAAGGGCGTCGAAGGAACCCTCTGGCAACTCATCTCGATCTTTCGCAAAGGGCGCGAGCCCAAATCGAGTACCGCCGGATGACAAGGTGGCCCTCCCGGAGCGCGTCGGAGAAGGACGACCGGCCTGAGCGCCCGGCTTTGACCTAGACATTGGAACTCCTCCCGTGGCGAAAAAATCAGGTAACCCTCAATAGTGTCTCTCCGCCCGCCGGTCGCCGGAATCGCTGTGAGCGCCGCCTGGTTGCTTCGTTGGAGTGGACCCAGGAACCACCGCATCTTGTTTTTGAGAATGGAGAAAATGAGTTCAACGGTGAAGAGATGGAGCCGAAGGGAAGAGCGAGGAAGGCGAGGGTTTCTTTCGCAACTGGAAAAGAAGAGAGTAAATGAGGAGTGAAGTTTTTGGGGAAACACAAAGAAGACGGGACAAGTGCTAGCGCGCGAATCCAGATTCAGGTGATTACAAAATTATCCGGGTATCAAATTAATTTTACCTGACAAAATTTTGTGGGGGGGCATTTGTACACTCCAAAATTTAACCGGGCCAGCCCAAGAATGAGCCTAGTCCTAGGGGGATATAGTCCATGAGAAAGCCCGGATTAGTAAAGTACGTGGTCAACGGGTAAACGGATGAAGCATAATTTGAAAATAAAAAGAGGTTTGAGAGGTTGGAGAAAAATAAGGGATAAGAGCCTTATCCGAACAAGATTAGGGGAATAAAAGAAAAAGAAGGTAGGAGGACGCCATTTATCATGAATCTTTCTTCTTTTTTTCATAATTTTTCTCTGCATTATTTTCTTATAATTTTTCCAAATTTTTATAGTTTTCTTCGATTAATTCCAATTTAATTTTCAGCTTTGTTCTTGTTTATTTTATCTTTCTTTTTTCATCAATTTTTCGGTTATCGCGAGATAGTCCGGATCCTTTCTTGAAGAGGCCGAGGAACCCTACGATTAAATCAATTCTGATAGGCTTTTCCGATTAAGCCGTGGATGACGATTTTTTTACGACTAACAGTATTGTTGATATATATTACAAGTGTTGTCGACTTATATTTAATATGTTTGATGCTAAATAATACCGTAACTATTGCCGCAATGGTATGAATAATTTTGGATTGTAAAGATATTATAATAATGACGAAGAAAGGACAAATAAATATTGAAATTTGGAACTCTTTTGTTGTGATGTTTGTATAAAACTAGTGGTATAGATAGTGAATTTACTTTTAATGATGTGATTATATTAGTGATTATTTTGTTCTTTGTATTAGCTAGATATGATGTGATAATTAATAATTTAAGTATAATAATTATGATTTGAGAATAATAATGAGTTTTTAGAAAGTAATATTATATATACAAATTGTTTACTTTTATTAAATTTTCTTAAATGGTTCGTATAAATTTTGGTTTATTTTTAGTTTCAATAATAAGTTGAAGGAGGTGGATTAGGTACTAAATTTTTTATTTTTTAAAATATAATATTTTGCAAAAAAATAGTATCTATTTTATATAAAGAGAGATAGAGAGAAATATATATAGTGATTTAAATATAATATTTTATGAGGAAAAAAATATATATTTTTATTGAAAATCAAAATAATTGTATAGTAAGAAAATTGAAAAAAAAAAAAAAAAAAAAAAACCTCCAAAATAGCAAAACATGTCTCTTCCAAATTTTTCCCCTAATCTTTATTTACTTATTTAATATTGTTCCAAATATGTGTTTAGTTGCCCTTATAATTTTTAATTGATATTTTAAATTAAATGTATTAAAGTAAAAATTAGCGATGAAATATTTTGTACATAATTTAGAAAATAAAGTAATTATTTTTGGTATTTTTACGTTAACTTAGAAATACAACTCAACAACGTATATGTTAA